CAGGCTATTTTTTGGTTGCAGCCATCATTGCTGTTTGGCGGGTCCGGGCTGGGGATTCAAACCTGCCACCTTAGGTGTACGTGGCTGGCGCCCTAGCCGGTTGAGCTATAGGCGCCGAGCCGGGTTTTTTTCTTTACAAGAATTGTGTGAGTTGAAAAAATGGTAGATGACTCCTTTCAGTATAGTGCCATCGCTGAGTATCCAGAGCATGCCTGGCTTCAGAGCCCTGGGCAGTGCTGCAACATGGTATTCATCCCAATCCTGCAGAGGCCTTTTAGGGCCCCTAATTTTTTATTTCCATTGCGGTTTACAATTAAATGGTGAATAAAGACAAACGTGGCAGGATTTGCTGCAGGCTTGCCTGGTGCCTGGTACCAGCACTCATGTTCTGGGCTTAACATAGGTGCAGCTACCACACACCACAGGCCCTTTTGTTTCCTTAATACAAGTTGGAATTGCAAATGTATGGGTTTCCTTGAATCTGAAAAGAGAAATATGGTTTTCTGGTTTTAATTCTATCCACATCTGGATGCTGAGCAGGAGAGCCCCAGTAATCCTTGGGAAGGCTGGAGACCTCCCTACAGAAATGGCTTCCCAGACTGCAGCCAGGGACAGATGGTAGAGCTGGAGATTTTGAATCAGGGTAGACATGTCTGAGCTGGGGCTGCTGGTGGGACAAGAGTTCTGACTGGAGGGTTTTTGGTGGGGGTGGAGGTGCTGGTGGTCCCAAATTATGATCTTGTTCATGGTGCTTGCCCTGGAAAATATAATGCCTGCAGAGGCTACTTGTGTTCTTTTCCTCTTCTCTGGCAGGAAGGTTCCAGCAGTTGCTGTTGTGCGATGATCCGGGAAGTGGTGATGTTCAGCCTTACATAACCTGAGCCTTCCCACTGCTATAGTAGAGGAGTGTAAAGAGGCCTTTGGAGGTTTTCCCCACCAGCAGTGGTGGAGGGTACAAAGGTCCTCAGGCCTTAATCCCACAGGTGATCGGACTTTTGGAGCCTCATTCCTGAGCTGGTCTTTCAGACAAGCTCTCATGTGCCCACCACTGTCATTGCCCACTGATCTCTTCTAACAGCCCTCGCACTCGCCCTGCCACTCACCCCTTACTGGTAGTTCTTGGCCTTGGTGCATCAAGTAAGGAGCCAGGATTTACTTATTCCTATTTTTGACCTTGTGTGTATGAGATACACTTGACAGTGAGGGTTTGCACTTGGGGTAGTCAGACCCTAGAACTCCCTCTACCTCTGCTCTGTGGTCTCCTGGGTGATCTTTAGGGAGTAGATTTCCTGGTGTTTTTTGAGATGTTCTGTGGTAGATTCACATGTGTGAGTAACTACCTCCTTTCCTTTCTCCAGGGCAGGAACTGTGTTCCCCTTGCACTGCACACAGTAGGGGCAGGGTAGGTATTGAAGCAGGTGTCCCAGGGTGATGTGGGGTCCAGCTCTGGGAAGGGACACAGCTATGCCCACTTCTGGGTCTCATCTCCGTGTGCCCCACAGGAGAGCTGTCACTCCTTAGATGAGACGTGGAGTCTGTCTCTGAATACTCCCAGAGTCAGTGTCTCCAGCAGGAGCTTTGGCCAGGACATGGGGTTAGGGACAAGTAGGATATCTTTGCTGAATATACCAGTTAGTGGGGGTACAGACTGAGTTGAGTGGGGATAATGGCCAATTATCTTAACCTTAGAGCACCAGGTAGAAGAAAGATAATGATTTGGCAGTACCACTTCTCAGTTTAGTATTTCCAGGTAGTAGTAACTTTTGGCAGTTGACAATTGCATTGAATTAACATGGATTCACTATTTGAGAAAACATCATCTTAGAATTGGGGACTTCGTACTGTTTTGTCAGATAGGGAAGCGGGCAGTCCTGGTCTCTGATCTAGCCTTAGCTCAGTTGGACATTGTCCTCCGGAACATCTGTACAGCAGTGGTGGTCATACCCCTGTCTGAGTTGTAACAAAATGTGAGCTTAAAATGTGAGACCCGTGATGGACTCTGCAATGCAGTGAGGCTCTGGTCCTGAGGGCCTTCCCCTCCCCTCTCTCACCAGTCTGTCATGTGATGCTCTTGCCTCGGACCTGGGAGGAAACTGGACTTGGTGGAAAGCAGAGTGCTGCAGGGTGGGCTTCACTGTGACCCACTGAATTCCTACATGACTCCCTTGTGAGAGGCGTTTCTTCCAAGGGTCGCCTGGGAAATGAGGAAAAGGAGCTATAAGCAGAGACTTTGCTTATTTGGGAGCCAAAATTGGAGGCCCTGATACAGGAGGATTGTGTGAAACTAGCGTGTTTATAAAGATATTCTCTGTTACCCTCACAGGGACCCTGTCGGGTGTGGAGGGCAAGTGTCCACACTGCTGGATCAGGAGCCCAAGAGCAAGTGGACTTGAGAGCCAGGGGCTGCTCTCTGCTCCTCTTGATTCCCTGGCTCTAGGTGCCTAGGGGATTCAGTAGTTCCTGTTGGGTGTGCTCTGGGTGAGGTCAGGAGAGCTTCAGCAGAGCCTCATGGCCTCCTGAGAGTGGCCAGCCTTGGCTGAGAGTAGTGTGGCAGGGAGAGGGCCCTGTTTACCAGCTGAGCCCTGTGGTGACCAGCCCTCAGTTGAAAAGCCCTCTGAGTCTTAGCTCAAAAGTTTATTCCATTTTGTTTGTGTCTGTTGGGGTGCTGCAGGTGGCTATTTGTACAAAAACATCCTAGTCATTATAAATTGGGATCTGGCTTTGAATGTAGCTATAAAGAGGAATCAGTGTTTGGTTTTTTGTTTTGTTTGGTTTTTTGAGACAGTCTCACTATGTCGCTCTCAATAGAGTGCCGAGGCATCACAGCTCACAGCAACCTCAAACTCTTGGGCTTCAGTGATTCTCTTGCCTCAGCCTCCCAAGTAACTGGGACTGCAAGCACCTGCCACAATACCCGGCTACTTTTTTGTTGCAGTTGTTTAGATGGCCAGGGCTAGGTTTGAACCCACCACCCTCAGTGTATGTGACTGGTGCCGTAACCACTGTGCTACGGGCACTGAGCCAATGTCTTTTTTTAAATTTGTGTACAACTTAATGGTTAGAGTTGTATGTGCGTTGTGTCTCATGGCTCTGTCCCTGAGCTACACAAGTGGACACAGCACAGGGGCACAATATGTAGGAACTACCTGCCATCCTTTCAGGGGGATTCCAGCCAGGGACATGCAGGAAATTGCCTACTTCTGGTTTCTTTCAGACTGAGCTCCATGTGTAGCAATGGAGGACGACAGCCCGCATGAGCTTGTGGCCTGGAGCCCAGTGCTGGATGGATGCCCACATGTTGGCCCCATGGACATGGCTAGCGATTTTGGTGAGCCACTTGGCACCAGGGACCTTACCAGGAGGGCACTGTCTAGGCCTGCCTGCCATGTTCTCCAGGTTGTAAGCTCCCATTCAGAGTTATCTGTTTGTGTTGTCAGCTTTCTTCTTTACTTACTTATTTATTTATTTTGAAACAGTCTTGCTCTTATTACCCTGGTAGAGTGCCATGGCATCATAGCTCACAGCAGCCTCAAACTCTTGGATTCAATGGCCATCTTGCCTCAATCTCCAAAATAGCTGGAGCTACAAGCACCCACCACAACGCCTGGCTAATTTGAGAGACGGAAGTCTCACTCTGGCTCAGGCTGATCTTGAACTGTGAGCTCAGGCCTCCATTAGTGCTAGAATTATAGATTGGTGTGTCAACCACCACACCCAGCCAACTGTTTTTTTATTTTTGGCCAGGGCTGTGTTTGAACCTGCCATCTCCAGCACATGGGGCCAGCACCCTACTCTTCTGAGCCACAGGTGCTGCCCACCAGCCAACTTTTAATCTTTAAAAAGAAAAAAACTGGCTCAGTGCCTGTGGCTCAAGTGGCTAAAGCGCCAGCCACATACACCTGAGATGGCAGGTTTGAATCCAGCCCAGGCCCACCAAACAACAGTGATGGCTGCAACCAAAAAAAATAGCCAGGCATTGTGGCGGGCGCCTGTGGTCCCAGCTACTTGGGAGGCTAAGGCAGGAGACTCGCTTGAGCCCAGGAGTTGGAGGTTGCTGTGAGCTGTGATGCCACGGCACTCTACCTAGGGGGACAGCTTGAGGCTCTGTCTCAGGGGAAAAAGGAAGGAAAAAATTTTTTTTTTTTTTTGAGACAAGGTCTCATTATGTCACCCTCGGTATAGTGCTGTGGTGTTGCAGCTCACAGCAACTTCAAATTCTTGGGCTTAAGCAATTCTCTTGCCTCAGCCTCCCAAGTGGCTGGGACTACAGATCCCTGCTACTTTTTTTGTTGCAGTTGTTTAGACAGCCCAGGCTGGGTTGGAATCCGCCAGCCTCAGTGTATGTGGCCAATACCCTAATCACTGAACTATGGGGCCAAAAGAAAGAATTTTTAAATTATTTTTATTATTTTATTTATTTATTTTTTATTATTTTTCTTAGACAGTGTCTTACTTTGTCACCCTAGATAGAGTGCCATGGCATTAGCCTAGCTCACAGCAACCTCAAACACCTGAGCTTAACCAAACTTCTTGCCTTGACCTCCCAGAGAGCTGGGATTATAGGCAAGAGCCACTGTGTCCAACCAGTTAGTCTTTGTTTTTTAATTGCAGAAGTACATTGAACTCTTGCGTCTTATTTTTAATGCAAATAACATATGAAGGATAAAGGGATGCCATTTTCCCTGTGTCTGCCTTCACCCCCCCCCCCCCCCCCCCCGGGGATGGCCTCTGGTAGCCCTTTGGCAGGTGCCCTCCTGCACATCTCCAGGCATTTGCAAAGCAATCCTCGGCCTTCTGCTGTCTAGGTCGTGACACTGCCCCTGGGGCCTGTGTTTTTACCTCTGGTGATCTAGAAGAAAGCAGTGACGGTAGCAGTGGGGACTTGGAGGATGACACAGACAGTGAGCTCGGAGATGGTACAGACCAAGAAGATGGGGCAGGACCTGATCAGGAAGACCTGGAGGACAGAACTGGTGAGATTGCTGGCTTTTCTGTCTCTTCTTGCTGTGACAGGGACAGCCTTTTGTAAAATGTGCTCAGTGAAGTCATTGTCTTACCCACAGCTGGCCTAAGTAGGTATGGGGAAGATGAGAGGAAGACCTATACACACTGGCCATGCCCTGGCAGCTCACCCTGTGGTTTGTCCTCTCATTCTGACCAGAATTCCTGAGAGCTGGCAGACACATCCCATGACTTTAATAGGGAATTCTCAGCTCATTTACACTGGTTAACATTTGTGCCCTTGAACTTCTTTGCAGGGAACAGTGCCTTAAAGGACAGGTCCATTTTGGGTGCACTGTGGTAACTTCTTCCCTGTGTCCTGTTGCCACCCTGAGGGGGACACGGCCCACAAGGTCCCTGGCCTGGTTGCCCCACCCCAGCCCAACTATGGGCACTTTTCTCAGGGAGGACTGAGCTCCACTTTGGACATTTGGCACCTCGCTGCTTTCCATCTGCCAGGCCTCATTCTAAAGCATCTGCTTTAACCCTATAATACTTAGTAGAATGATCCAGAAAGGTAGCCCTCATGTTGGGGGCAGTGCCAGTGAAAGAACAGACTGACAGCATGCGTCAGAGTTACTAGGTGTGCATTGAGTTATTCTCTCCTGGGTTGACAGATCACAGGCATGGCCCCTACTTATTTCGTGCCATTGAGCTGGGGCTTTGACTTGTCCACAGCGGGTCTTGGCACAGGCACTGGCCAGGCTGAAGGCATGGGCTGCTGGGTGCTGCCAGAGACTCTGGGCTGGAGTGAGTATGAGGGCCCAGCTCAGCCAGTCCACTGTCTCTGAGCTCACTTTGTAGCAGCAGAAACAGTGGCAGGAAGCAGCTATTAGGGTGCCAGGTAATAGACAGTGAGAGCAGGCATCCAAAGAAAGGAAAGGCTCCATAGACCTAGGGGTCAGAGAGAAACTAGAGAAAGTTACACATTAATTGCAATCTGAAGGATAATAAGAGGGGGCTGATCAGCGGTAGACCTGGGGATGGAGCATTGTCACAAGGCCGCTTCAGAGCTTTAGGCACTGGAGGGGTGTTGGCTATAGTGATGGGCGCACAGAACCTTACTGAGCACCATACTATACTCTTACAGCACTAAGTTTTGAATGTAAAAAGTAGCCAATGTCTCTTTAGCTGATGGGAAATATAGTCAGATGTTCAAAGGGCACCTCCTGTCTCCTGGAGGCCTGGTACTGTCCAGGGCCCCTTCCTGTAGCTCTTCTCTTCTCCTGCTGCTTTTCCCACCCTGCTATTTACTCTTTTTTTTTGAGACAGAGCCTCAGGCTGTCCCTCTGGGTAGAGTGCTGTGGCATCACAGCTAACAGCAACCTCCAACTCCTGGGCTCAAGTGAGTCTCCTGCCTCAGCCTCCCAAGTAGCTGGGACCACAGGCGCCCGCCA